AGCTGCATGTGGACATGTGTGGAGATGAAAATGTCACAGGGGAAGGAAAAGAAACATACTGAAAAAGAAAAATCTTTTCAATGGTCTGAGACTATTGAACCTTAAATACAAGCCTCTTTCCTCTTGGAAAGGCAGGTGCGGTGGGCTCACACACTCCCCATCCAACCCACTCCCCCCACCGCAGGCAGGTGCCCGGAGGCACAGCCTACCTGCAGCTCCGCTGTTCCTCAAGGTTGTGTTTTTAAATTCCTCCTTAACAGAACAGGCCCTGGGGGTTTTGTGCCATGTGAGCACTTCACTGATCACTCATAATCTTAAATAAACACCCTCGCTTCCCTGAAGCTCTGGGCTGTGTTCTTTTGGAAGCTGGCATCTCCCCCGCTTCCCAGACACCCCTCCCCACCCCGGCTGGACTCCCCTTTCCAGGGCAGCCCTCTCTGCACGTCCTGGCCCCCCATCTCAGGAGCAGACTTCAAGGAGATGACAGAGACTTCTCCTCAAGGAAGAGCAGGGAATCCCTGGGCTAGAAAGGTGGCCTGGGGAGCAGGTTTCCCGGGCAGCAGTCTGCAGCCCGGCCAGGGGCCCCGTCGGGCTGGGGTTCGGACCTTCAGTAGCGTTTACAGACCCTTTGCTGCCGGCGCTGCGCAACCCAAAGAAGAGTCCACCATGTTTACCACTTGAGCACGAATACAGGGGAATCAAATTCTTCTAGACTCTCTTAAGCATCATGAGGGAGGCCTTTCTCTCTGCTGCTAGTCACAAGCATCGGGCTGGGTGTCAGCAGAGGAAAAGCACCCTGCCCGGGGCCAGACACCGAGCCGCCGTCTAAGGGGAGCAAAGGAGGGCAGAGGCTCCCGTGCACTTGACTTGACTCTGGTCATAGCGGAACTAATTACCCTACAGGGATAAAGCAGGGTTCCCTCTTCTGCTTTCACGGTCACCTTCATTCTCTACTTCTGTTTCATCCCCACTTAGCTACAGACTGAACAGTACTCACCCTCCTCTGACCTGTCTTCCATTCTGTCATTCTACTGTTCACGGAGAACCCAAACCCTCGTTTACCTGTAAATAACTTGCTGTTCTGCTTATTGAAAAACAAATAAAAAGAGACTACTAATTATGAGAATTGTTTGATATATACCATTTGCAGCAGAAGATCACTTATTACTAGGGGTTACACACAGCTTTTAGATCTGTTCCTCCCCAGGATTGGGTTTGGATAATTGAGATTTGGAAAAGTCAAAGAAAGATGAGAAATTCCTTGGATGGCAGTTGGAGGGGAAAGCTGAAATGTCCAGGACAAGTTATAGTCCACTACTGCTCTTATCTTCAGTAATGGAAATACAGTTTGGTGCACCAGGCCGAAGAATATCCTTGTAAGATTCACACGTACCCTTGTAGGATAAAGAAAATAACATGAAGGCTATGTTAACCATTTGGATGAAAGTGTTCCAAATTGTATATAGTAACAACCCGCTGTACCCCATGATAGTATTAATGTACACAGCTATGACTTAATAAAAAAATTAAAATAAATAAGTAAATAAAGAATATCCTTGTATTTTTAAAATTGCAAGAGTCCAATTCTGTACAAGGGCCAGGGCAGAACTGATTGAAGGAGCTCAATTTTAAATTCCCTTAAAAACAGGATAAAGGATGCCATTTTCAACTAAAATGTTTAAAAACAAAAAGTATTATGCGTGCCGCGTGGTAGAAGATGAGATTTTTATTAATGCAAGTTTTAAATGCTGATTAATCCTCTAGAGAGTCAGTTTCCCAAAGCACTGGATTGTATTCAAGTCTTTTTCAAAATGGCACATCACTTCCATTATTCTGAATATTAATTGAACAACATTATAACTAAGGATACAAAGCAAGATTTAAAACATGATTACAGCTGTCAGTGCTTACATCTAAATAAGTCATTGGAAATTCAAGCATAAAAGAGAAAAATGTTGTAAATCGGTCTTATCAGAACAGCGAAGCTCTCGGTGAGCCTTTTTAAAATATAAATTTGATGCTTTAGGACTCAAAAAAGCTTCAGCTATGACTTGGCCTTATATTTATATGGGTAATTTGGATCAGAAATCAGAGTTATATTTTTGTATTGTGATTTGGGACATCAAGGACATTTTCTTGGGGAGAGAAAAAGAAGGGAGAGCTACAGAATATTATCTAGTTGGTAGAACCTTTCTATTTCCTTATTTTATATTTCTAATTCAGTCTGTCTACATGCAGAATTAAAGAATTAGCCCAATTTAGTCAAACAAAACATTAGTATGTTTTCGAAAACAATCCATTAAGCTCAGAGTCAAGCAAATGCAAGCAAGTAATGACTTACGTTCATAATGATCAATTGTTTGTTTAAATTCAACTTCTTTTATCTCCCAGATCCAGTTTAGGGGTAGATAAAATCCCCATTTCCCTACCAGAAGCAATATAAAATACTGGCTTCTATTACAACCGTGGGGAATTTCAGTTTTGTGTTGTTTCCTTCAGTGGTTGCTGTGCATTTGAGTGATAGCTCTTTGTTCAAAAGGACGCAAAAGCCACTCTCACATCTAATTCTAATGAGATAAATGGCATTATGAAGGGAATATTAAAAATTTACAGCCCTCTTTACTAAGTTTATTTGTCAGCCATACATGCTGAATATTGCATAGCACGCGTTTGTGTGCACGCACACACACACACAAAAGCATACAGTCCCAGCGATGAAAAAGATATGAGGAGATAATGATGCAATCATAACACATCTGATGGAGTTTGTATATCTTGGTTGCTGTTTGGCACGTCATCTAATTGTATTGCGCCAAACTGGCAGAATCACACAATATGTTAGTGTAAAGGGCCCACAGTTTAAGGGGAAAATCTAGAAGTGTTAACTATACACTGTCTAATTATACAACCTTACTGTCCCAGAATGTGATTTCAGAAACCATTCTGACATATGGGAAAAGGGTGGAACAGCTGGTCATTAAGGTTTTCTCAAGACTATTTAGCAACACACTTGAATGTAATTAAAGTCAGACACTAAATACTGCACTTGTGGTACAATGTATTTTTAATTTTTATGGCATGTGGTAAAAGTAAATAGATGCAGAGCATTCAAGTTTCTCCATTCGGCATCCAACTTGTCAAAGATGCAATGTCTGTTTGGCTGATTGCAAGCAGGATCCTGGTGTGTAAGTCATAGACATCCGTTTGAGGTGTTTAAGGCTGTCTTTAAGGGACTGAGTTTGGCAACACGCCGAGGAAATGACTAACTGGAGCTCCGAGACAAAGCATAAGATGAAGGCATTCATTCATTCATTCATTCATTCATCAAACCCAGCTTAGTATAATATTATTTTAGGTGATGAGGACATACCCCTGGCCTCAAATTACTCACAGCTCACTCTGCTTAAAAACAGCACAATGGGAGCTCATGAAAGGGTGCTGAAAGCTCCAAGAAGGAGGCTTGGCCCACACTGGGTGGGGGGTCCCCTGAATAGGAATTATCTGAGGCATATAAGAAATGTGGGAGTCAAGGACAAGGAGTTTGGGTGGGGGCATAAGAATAGCCAGAAAGAGGAGCAGCTTCAGCAAAGACTGTGAGGTGAAAGAGAATATTATAATGTGAACATAATTACAACACTGATTGAACATTTAAGATACTCCAACACTGGGCTAAGCCCTGGACATCTATTATCTCTTTTAATCCTTACAGAAACTCTATAAGGTAAGTACTATTACTTTTAATATTTTATAGATGAGGAAATAGGCTAGTTTGTAGCAAAAAAGTTAGTGGGAAACTAAATCAGGATTCAAACCTAGATTTGTCTGAATCACAAGTCATTATCTTCTCTCCACACTAACGTCTCCAATTTACACACATACATACATGCATATATGTGTAATATATATACACACACACACACAGAAAGGGAGAGAGTATTTTGTTTCCAAAGAAGTTAGACCGTAAACTCAATCCTTACAAAAAAGAAAAAAACCTGTGATTAAGAAAATGAAAGGGCAAGCTATAGAGTTACAGACGGAGAGAAAATATTTGCAAATCATATATGGCAAAGTATTTGTTTCCAGAATATATATAAAAATAACTTTCTCAAATCTATAGTAAGAAAATAAATGACCCAAGTGAGCAAATGAGCAAAAGATTTGGATGTTTCTCTACAAAGACATGTGATGGCAAGTAAGCAAACGGAAAAATTGCTCAACATCATTAGCCACTAGGGAAACACATATTAAACCAAAGTGAAATATCACTACCTGTATTAGGATGGTAAAATAAACATAGTAACAATGCCAAGTGCCAGCAAGGATGTGGAGTAACTGGAATTCTCACACACAGATATTGGGAATGAAAAATTGTACAGCCACTCCAGAAAATGTTGCCAGTTTCTTATGAAGCTAAATACATTCTTACCTTAAAAGACAAAAAACCCACTCCTATATATTTACCCTAAAAACATAAAAACTTACGCACGTGAATATAGAGAACAGCATTATTTAAAGTGCTTACACAATGCCAGGTAGCACACTACACTTGCCAGCCTTCAGAGACAACTGTATAATCTTTCCAACAGGCCTATGAGATGAATGTCAAAATCCCCAAATCCCCATTTTGCAAGCAAGGAAACTGAGGCTCAAAGCAGTTGAAGCAGTGAAATAGCTCTCCCAGCATGCGCACACACAGTGCCAGGGAGACATACGATGGAGTCTGCCAGCTCAGATGCCCCCATCACGCTAGGCTAGTGCCTTCCCTGGTCCTTACGGCCACACAAATGGCAGAAGGCACCGTCATTTTGAGGAGATGGTGCATAGCGGGGAACAGTCATGAATTGTGATGAAAAGCAGATCTAAGTCCCTCCGGGGCTGAGGTCCTCTGGGAGAGTACGCAGGTGTTCTTCCTCTGGCCAGGGGATGGGCATTTTATGACTCATTATAATCTCTAGTAATATCTAAGGGAAAAAAAAAAGCAGAAGAGATGAAACTCAAACCAATACATTTTATTCCTTTCTAGACAAATATCTAGAAAACATTGAAAATTTGACTCACAAGAGATTAACAATTGGACATGGATAATAATTATTTTTGCTCCGGGAGTAACCGCTGAGCTGTAGTCTCAGCCTCCTTAACATGAGGAATCATACCTTTAGTTTCTTCACTTATTCTTAATGGATAGTCCTTCATTCCTGAAGATGACTTTGCTGACCCAAGGATATAAACCTGGAGTTGTTTTCCACAGTAGGAAGAATTAGATTACAGAGAGACATCCACCTTCCCTCCCTCTCTCCCAGTCACTATCGTAGCTGGACACAGTTAGAGGATATAGACTTTTGGCTAAAGAACAAAGAATCGCTAACTGACCCACGTGGGCATTGAACCCCTGACCTCATTAGCATTGTTTTCTCACCATCTTGGCTAACAGACAGCCCAATTATGAACACTGAATCAAAGAGGGAAGTCACCTCTTCACCTGGAACCAAGAAAAGCCTACGACTGCTGGTTTGTTAAAAAAGAGAATGCTTCTCCAGTCAAATAATCACAGTATGGGCATCCACAAGCAATTTCCAAGAATTTTCCCTACCTCGCGTGGCTCAGTTTAATAAGAACTGCTGTCAGTGTAGTCTGGTCTGGAAGCTGATGAAGGCTTTGGGAGCATCACCGTGGGATGGATGAAGTGTACCAAGTGTACCTTCTCACAAAGATGCTCAGGGCTGAGCCCAGTTGATTTTTCTGTCCCTTGTCCTTGGATCCCTTGCACACCCTTAGTCCCGACACATAAAGCTCTGCCTAGGAAAAGAACAATAATTTGGCACGTCTGCTGAGGGATCTGTGGCAGAGACATTTTCCACAATGAGTTTTATGATGGAAATGACTCTCGTTACTCCACGACAGTCTAGAGGTTCTTCAAAGGCTTCCTAAAACTTAAGTACAACTTCCTTGTTCTGAAGGGTGGCGATTTGTATGATTTGTGTCTGTGCATGCAGATATGTGTGTCTGTAATTCCTCAGGGTTTTTAAAAAGAATGTAAACTGAATTACATCTATCAGAAATAGGTGTATTCCTTTTTCTGCAAACTGAAGTTATTTCAAACAAACTGAAGTTACTTCAATCAGCTCCTGGGAGGCAATGACTAAATTAATCAGTCAAGGTATGCTAATAAAGGCAAAGATAATGGCTCAATTCCCAGACCAGTTATAGGTCTTTCCTACAGCCATGGGCCACAACCCTAGGCAGGGCCAACAAGCTCAGACATGGTGTGATTTATATAATGAGGACAAGGAGAGATAGAGCAGGGACAGTTCATTGTAGAAACAGTCTTTCTGCTGTAAAAAAAAAAAAAAATGGCCAGTTCAGATGGCATTGGTTTAGCTTTATATTGTCCTCATATACTAAGGGCAGCACTAATTAATGATGGAGAAGACACATGCCCAGAAGCTAGATTTGGCCCACAGAAAGGTGAGTCACAGTTCCGGACTCCAGACTGTGGCTATATGTCAGAATATGTTTTAGTCTATAGAATATTTGTTGACCCTATGTACTTAGCTGCTAACCCTTCCCTCCCAGGACAAGATAATAATGAAGCTTCTGGCCATCTCCCACCAAACATACACATATGATTTACAGCCACAGCAAAGGCATTTCATAGGACAACGCTAACCCAGTTTGACAGGCATTACTAGTGTCCCCACAGCCCATTCTCCTCTACTTCCAGGTACAACCTCCGACCTTTTGAAGATAAGTATGCTCAGTGTAAGTAGTTTGGGCCAATGAAATATAAGCAGAAGAGTTCTAAACATTTAATTGTTTATATTCCACTGTCCAGACTCAGTGGCAGCATACCTAAAGGCAAACCTGGGCTTCCTATGAGATGTCACCACTGTAAGTGGTATTCCCTGGCCATTCTGGGGTCCTGAGTGACATCCCATGGATCAGAGATGCCTTTGACCTGACACCACCACCTCTAGATAAGTATAAAATCATCATTTGTTGTTTTTAGCCAGTTAGAGTTTTGTATTGTTTCTTTCCATGGTTTACACTGGCTGCCTCACTGGAAAAGAAAGTATGTTAATTTCTCAGTCTTTCAGAGAGTGAGTATCAGGTATCTGAAGTCCTGGCAAGAGTCCTGGCTGAATACTCACTAAGGCATTCCATTCAATTCTGATCCTGACTGTGTACCTGGGTTCATGCTTCAGATCTCCCTCTGCCTCAGCCCCTTAAGTGGGACCTTGATACTCTTCTTCTCTAGCTCTCTCCAGACCTACCATAATATCTCTATCAATATTGCTTTGAGTATCTCCTGCCTGCCACTTGAACTGTGATGCCATCTCCTGCAACCTGGCTGGAATGTAGACCCCACGTGACACTCTTCCCATTTGCCATGCTCTGCTCACATCTCCACTGTGCTGCTCTTGCAGGAGCCAGTCACAGGCTTGCCCTCTCCTGGCTTGTCTTCCCACTTTAGGGCTTAGATGCCAAGTTGCAAATGAATCTTATGTTGAACCTACCTGAGTTTTAATGACACTTGGCACTTGTCATGTTACAGGATATGGGTGGGTTAGTTACATGTAGGGTCCCAGAGAAACCTGAAAAGGATGAAGTTCCAGAACTAATCTCACTCTCACAGTAGAGCAGGTAGGGACTGGATTCCACAGCAGGACTAGAAGAAGTCTGATCCAACAGGTAGAACATGGATTTAGATGGAAATTAGGTATATGGCTGGTGTCAAGAGACAATGAGGCACAAAAAGGGAGGCTTACTAGGAAATCCATAGGAAGTCCATACAGGGATCCCCAGAGAGGAAGTCAGCATCAGGGAAGCATGCAAGGTAGTACAAACCCTCAGCAAGATGGATGCTGGAGGACTATTTATGAGATGGGATCCAGATGTCAGACCCAGGGTGATTATGGAGCACTGCTTCAGAAATAAGGTTAAGATCAATTATTCAACTTTCTAGCCCAAGGTTTGGGGTATCTGAGTCACAAAGGACTGTGTTGTAGTTCCTTAACTTGCACATGGGTAAACATAATGTTTAAGTTTATGAGGACAAGTGGCAGGGAGGAGATGCTCAAAGTTCTATTGATAGTGATGTTATGGTGGGGCTGGAGAGAGTTTGGGAGAAAGATGTGTCTCTAAGTGGGGGTTAAAGATACTTGACACAGGCAAAGAGATTGAGTAACAACCAGGATCTAACCGTCTTCAGAATGAAGCAGGTTTGCAGCACGGTCAGACCATTGCAAGACAGGAAGTCATCATTTCCAGATTCAACCAATTGATGCAGCAACTAAACAATTCACAGTCTTGTACAAATGTCAACAAGTTTTTTACCAAACAAAACATTTTTGGACTGGGTAGAGGGGGTACTAAGTGTGAACTTTAGGATATCGTTGGGCCCCTGGGTATGTATGGAGTAAGCTATTAGCTTAGAAGGTTTGGGCTGAGGAATAAAGAGAGAGTAGTCTCTAATAGATGAATTATAGTTAACAAACAATATAATGTAACAAATAGCTCCATCAGCCAGTGTTCAGCAAAAATTAGCTATGTGCTCACTAAAAGTGTAGGAAGATTTGGATCTCTTCCTTAAGGAGCCCTTAGTTTTTAGGACAAAAACACTTAATACAAGCACTGTGAAAGAATTATAAAACAATAGGCATTTTAGTGCCAACTTGCACTGATGTGCTGCTAGATACCACAGGATTACAGAGACGAGAAAGATGAATAGCTGGAAAAAGTGAAAGAAGTCTTCACAAAGAAGGCAGATTTTATGTAGGACTTAAGGGAAGGGTAGAACTTGGCTAAAGTGAAAGAAAGGGTATATCCGAGCAAAGTCCTTGAAAATAAGGTGTGCTAGACAAGCAAGGGACCAACCAGGTGGGAAAATAGGGGTGTTGATCAGCAAAAATAACTTGAGACAGGTATCTCATCCAGAAGGGAGCAAAACTTGGGAGGCAGAGTAGTTGGAACCTTCTGGGATAGAAAGTAGAAAGCCATGGAACAATTCATGCAGAAGACAGTATTATTAAAGACACAGAAGAAGAAGACCTACAACAAAGTCCAGGGAGACCTGCGGCAAGGAACTAACTGCTCCCAGAGCTTGCCAAGGAGTGACAGCGCCAAGTAATAAAGTTCTGCTGAATGTCCAGTCTCAACATAAACAGATACCAGTCACTGGATTTCCAGCATTTAAAACCACGATCTTTCAAACTAGAGAAAATCAGGGTCTTTACAGAAATTGATACTACTCTGGTCTAAGCCCTCTCTAGTGCCTCTATAACCCATGTGACATAGATATCTCGTGTCACTTGTATACCAAGGCCATTCCATGGAATAAGCAGGGTGACTGTGTCCCAATAGTGGGGCTGTGACAGGTTGGAAACCCACATTCCAACCTCAGAAGCCATGGATTCTTATCTCTGGCCATCTACATTCCTACCCTTATTTAGAGCCCAAGGGCAGTCCAGGTCCTCCTTTTGCTTTTTCTTTTCAGAGGCCTGGCAGGAGGGATCCAAAGTAGCCCATAGGACCAGAGGTAAAAAACACCCTGAAAGCTTTCTGAAAGGGAATCCTCCTCAATTTGTTAAGTTCTATTGTTTGTTAACTTAAGAAATCAGTGATCTCTAAAATATATGATTTAAGTTCTAGAACTCTTTATGTGATGGACATCATGTAATTCAGTTTAAAATGAAAGTGAAAAATTCCCTCAGTCACTTGTCAATTTAAACTTTACCAATCTGCAAATATCTGAATATTTTGGGGAAGTGTTTCTAACCCACAGTTCTTTGGCAGAGCACTGACTGGTAGTGACCCTTTTTTGACAATTTTGAGAGGCATCTCCTGGGATGAATATTGTCTAATGGCCACTCTTCCCTCAACTGGTACTAGTCTAAAGATAGCTGGATTAAGCAGAATCCTGATTCCAGACAGCCTACATCCAGCAACCAGAAGGCTCAGATTTGAACAAGACCATGTGTGTGGTGGGGCAAGAGAAGTTGTTGGAGATGTCTACCATCCGCTCCACTTCCTCTTCCCAACTTGTACGGAGTCAACGACCAACTAGGAACAAAGTGAGCAAACATATGCAAATTCTGATGTTGCTCTTCCTTTATTTTTTATTTCAGATTAATTTCATGGTATAAACAATAAGGTTACAATGTTTGCTTTTGTTAGGCAAGGTCCCCATTGGAGTTGTGCCCTGTACCTAGGAGGTGTGTCATATGCCCTTCCATTGTGCCCATTAGGTAATATTGCTCTTCTTTTAGACTTGGGTGACTCTGTTCTTCTGGGGAACTATTAACCAAACCTCATTAAAGTTTTTTAAAGAAGAATGTCTTCTTTCCTGTAAACAACCTTGCTTTCCATTTCATCAGATGCCCCTGCTCTCCCACTGCTGAAGGCTGCTCAGAAAGGGGATCGTGGGTCTTCCTGCCACCAGCCCAGACATTGTGATCAGAAGAAGGCACAGTAGACTAACTTGTGAATCAGACACAATTATAGACTATGAAGTTCTATCCCCAGAGACTGTGGCTTGGTGTGTTCCAGGTGTAGCATGGAATGGGTATGTTTAACAAGCTCCTTGAGTGGCTTTGACATAGGTGCTTCCTGGAACACACTTTAAGAAACACTGCTCTACAGTAGGTTCTACCTTCCTTAGTCCACACCACTAGGGAACAAACCAGGAATGTCTCACATGGTGACTCACATCCAACAGCCAGTTTATGCAGAGCCAGGAGACCCACCCCCCTTGTCTCAATTTGGAGTAACTCTTTAGTAATCAGTTACAATCCTATATA